TACCAGCTGAGCCTGGCAGTGTTAAGCAACTTTTCCTATCTCTCCTCTGCCTCTGCCTCTGATGAACTCTGAAAAGTTATTCCACAACAAAAGGAAATGCTTCAAACTCTGGTCACATCCTCTAAAAGTTCAACTCCCATGACCCAAACAAAAGGAGGAGTCAGGCCCATCACATGAGTGAGAGCAGGTACAAGTTATATCCTCAATCTACTTTCATTTTTCAGACATAGACCCGGACCTATTCTTTCAGAGCCCATTCCTCTGTCAGATATAAGACTCCTTTTGGACTAATAACGTAGCAAAAATAACATTAACCATCACTGGCTTATGCAGAATCATTGCAGCCAGGCCCCAGGTTACAGATTCTGAATTAGCAGAAACAGAGTTAAAGCTTAGGAATCTGTATTTTAAAAAATGACTTTTCAAGTGTTCTAATGGGGGAAATGATACAGCTCAAGCGGGAGAGCACATGCTCAGCACCCAAGAGGTCAGGGGTTCAATCCCCAGAACCTCCTCCAAGCAGTAATCAATGAAGAAACCTAATTACCTCTCCCTCATAAAACAAACAATACAAGTCAAGTGTTCTAATGATCAGTCAAGTTTGGGAAGCTCTGATCCAATATACTGATACCAAAGACAGACCTCCATTTATAGCTTCTTGACAGCCAGCTGCTCCTGACCTAAGTAAAATGAGTTAATTCCTTTGTCTCAATTTCCCCACTACTAACCAGGAGTTGTGATTCAACCCTCACCATTGGAACAACTGACCTGCATAATAATAAACCTCTTAAAGAAAAACCTGGTACTTGCTACATTTACATGTTTAGGACACAGTAATGTCAACTACTCTCATGACAATGGAATCAAAGGAGATCTATCAACATTATATTTCCCACATCTCCCCCACACAACCCAAGCTTACAGAGCCCGCAAGGGTGTCAGTGTCCAAAATCTCCAATAACACGAAAGCCCTCGTCTGTTTTACTACTTTTGGCTTCTC